GAGTTTGGGTTCTGAGCTCCAAGATAAGGTCCTGAACTTCCTTCCAGTACTGTGTGGAGGTATAATGTTCCTTCACTTTCTGTGGTTAGGTGAAGGATGGTAGGGACTTCCTGGTGGCAGGGAGAGAGAGAGAGAGAGTTCACCTACTTGGTCTGGAGGCATGATCCTGGGGCAGATGCCATGAGCCTCTGCTTGTCCAAGACTTCAAACACAGTGGGATTGCTACTGGGATTCACTTTTTCTGCTTCCAAGTGAGAAGCATCTCACTCCTAATGACTAGTTGGAGTTGGGGTGATATTTTGCTGGCAATTGTTTTCTTTTTTTTCATTATGGTGGTCTTGTCTTTATATGAAAATAGGCCCTGTGGTCTCATACCTGGCTTCTGTCACTCTTGAGCTTGTGGTGTGGTGTTTTTCCACTGTTTCTCTTGTGCTTTATGAAGGAGATGGTTACTGAATCTTACTTCTTTTCTTTTCAGCCTCAGCTTCCCAGCTTTACTGATTATTAAGACAATCTCTATGAAATTCCATATTAATGTATGCAAAAATGTGTACATCAAAGTGTTGATACAGTGTGAGGCACTAAAAGAATACTAGACTTTCACCCTTTGCTATCACAAATAAAGTGTGATAGATGCACACTATAAGATTCTTTGTAATACATGGATCAAGAGATGAGGCATAGTGTAATGTGAGAAGTTTCTTAGAGTGTGCCCGATACAACACATTGCTGCTTAAAGCATACAGATTTCTATATTTTGTGCAATTAGCTCCAGGTCCACAGGGTTACTGTAAGACATCATGGAGATTTTGCACTGGCAAACATTGTGTTTTTTTTTTTTTAAGATTTATTTTTATTTTTTTTATTGGAAAGGCGGATATACAGAGAGGAGAGACAGAGAGGAAGATCTTCCGTCCGATGATTCACACCCCAAGTGAGCGCAACGGCCGATGCTATGCCGATCCGAAGCCAGGAGCCTCTTCCGGGTCTCCCACGCGGGTGCAGGGTCCCAAAGCTTTGGGCCTTCCTCGACTGCTTTCCCGGGCCACAGGCAGGGAGCTGGAAGGGAAGCGGGGCTGAGGGATTAGAACCGGCGCCCATATGGGATCCCGGGCATGCAAGGTGAGGACCTTAACCACTTGCGCCACCTGTGGAAATTGTTACTAATTATTGTACCTTGTGCTGAAGAGGTCAATATGGTCATTATATAGTCCTCCCAATGTTTTGGGGATGGTGGTTTTTGCCAGAATGCAATAGGGCAATGAAGAGTTCTCCAGACACCACAAGTAGTGTGAGTTACTGCAGAGACTGTAATACTTACCGCAACACTATCAGTTTTTCAATGCACAAGTGAAACTGCCTCAGTTCTCACATGACATGCAAGGCTGATATTGTGTCTTGTCCTCTGGGCTTCCAGCACATGAGCTAGGAGGTACAGAGGGAACTTCTTTAGGCCTGATTCTCTCAATTTTTATGGGTTGTGGCTTGTGCTAGTCCCAAGAAACTGTGGGGAAGCCCCCTGGTTAACACAGATTAAGTAAGTGGAACTCTGGCTTGTGCCCAGAACCATCACAGCCACAGGCTGCAGTGAGTCTGTTCTCACAGTGAGACTGGAAAATACCTTGTCTGTGGCTCTTGTGGGTTTGGTGGGACTGTGAGCTTTCCCTCATATCGGAGCAGTGTTTAGCAGGGGCTCTGCTTCTGTGAACTGAGTCTAGCACTTTGAGAGGAGATTGACAATTGGCTTTCCGTTTAAAGTAAAATAGTTCCTCACACACCATTCAGCTTTCCAGGAAGGCTAGACTTAACATCAGTATGGCTGTGGAATTTTCCTGCCAGTTGGGCTTCTGTGGCAAGGATTGTGAAACCTTCTTCCTTTCTTCCCCCCAAATAAACTTTTATCTTTTAGTCCATATTCCCAAGAATATGAAAAATTATTTTCAATGATAGGGTTTTATAAGTATAGGGATTCCCTCCTCCCCTTACTTTTCCTCTCTCCCCATTCCCCAATTCTCACTGTTCTTGCTCACCATATTATCGCAATGGTATAGTCCTTAAGCAGCAGTCACAAGCCCAACGTTCTGCTGTTTAAGTGTACCCTGGCATTGTTGGTATAGGAAATGGTAAAAAAAATTTAGTATATGTTGTTAAAGTATATTTACCAGTTTCATTGGGAATCCTCCTTTCATTCTAGAGCTGAGATGCATACTGTAGCATCCATGAGCATCTGAGTATATACATGTGTATTTATATACCCGTTTACTTAGCATTGGTCCTCGAAACGGAGTATTCTCTGAGGGTTTTGTTCCTGTTGTTTTGATAGTTCTGACATGCTGTTGCTCTTGCAGATCCAAGGGTAAAGAAATCCTTCCAACGTCCATTGGCAGATACAATCCAACCCAGAGTCCCAATTCACCCAGAAATTTGCTGTGAAGCTTCTCTGAGGTAGTGGACCAATTTGTTCTGCCTCCTTTCTCTGATAACATACCAGATATCTTCCAGAGACTCCAAGAACTGCCCAATCCTCCATGTGCATCTGCATATGCTGTTCATTGCACCTATTTCAGTAAGTGAAGTGGCTATGTTTGGAGACATCATTGCAGAGATTTTTTTTCTGCTTTCCTCTTCTTCTTAGAGCCTGTTGCTATAGGTCTGGGAACAACCCAAACCTCTTTTGGCTAGAAATCTTGGGACATCACTTTGACATTATTTGTCGTGGTGAGACCAATGCTACACTTTGAGCCAGAAGTGAGTTTGCCTCTGGCTTCTGCATGAGCAGCTCACTGCTGTCTTTTCTCTGGTGTTTTGCTACAGAAATAAAAAATGGCACCTGATATGGCACTGGTGATGGTCTGGACTGTGAAATCCATCTTGTTACCACACTTGCCCAGTATGACACTGCTATTCTGCTTCTGCTCATGATCAGATTAAAGAAATTTCTGCAGGACTCACAATTCTGTGGTCAGAATCACCTCATCTGTTCCCAGGAACCACTCATACCTACCCTTTGCTGGCTGACAGCTGAGCTCAAATTGCTGTAGGGGTTCACTTTAGTGCTTCTCTGCTGTCTCTGTTGCTCCCCCATGTCCACAGGTATCTAGGTGTCCCTCTACCATTAACCTGCTTTCTCCTATTTTTTTCTGGATTATAATATCTCTGTTTTTCCTTGGCTACTATTTTTAAAATTTTATTTATTTTTATATGTAAATCATATTTACAAAGAGAAGGAGAGACAGAGAGAAAAATTTTCCATCAGCTGATTCATTCACCAAGTGTCCACAACAGCCAGAGCAGAGCTCATCCGAAACCCAGAGCAAGGAGCCTTTTCTGTGTCTCCCATGTAGGCACAGGGTCCAAAGCTTTGGGCTGTCCTTGACTGCTTTCCCAGGCCACACCTGGGAGCTGGATGGGAAGCGGGGTCACTGGGACATGAACTGGTGCCTATATGAGATCCTGGCTCTTTCCAGGTGAGCTATTGTGCTATGCCTTCATTGGTTAATCTTTCCCCATCTGTCTTAATGAGTCCTCATTCTATTCTGCCTTTTCTTTCTTGAAACATTCTTCACTAATTTTGGTAAGATGGCAGGCTCTGGAAGCATCAGTTTTATACAGAACCAAATTGAGAGAGAGAAAATATATCTAGTCTCCATCCCTGACACCAAAATTTCCAGAACTTCTGGTGAGAGCTAGGGAATAGAGTTTCATATGAGCTTTCCTGTCTTCTAAACAACAATTGCAGCATTTTCAACATTTTGACTTAATTCTTTCTGGCAAGAGTATAATCTATTCTAAGTAAGCAAAACCTTGCCTCACATTTATCCTTAGAGGAATCTGTATTTCCTTGAGTTTTTGGTGAAGGTATTGTTGTAACATATCAAGTCTATGATTAATTAAAGACAAGTGGGAATTATTTGTGTTGAGATTTAAAAAATTACAGATATGAATATAAACTTCTCCTCAGGTTTCTTTTTTTAGCATTAATTTTTAAAAAGTTTTGTGTCTTTTGGGAGAATCAACGTGGTAGAATAGGGTAAGGACACATTGAACAGAGAATTATTAGCCTAAGTGAAGCACAGAGGGCACATTGCAGGAAATAGTAGAGGACAGGCTGACGGAAAAGGGGGACCTGGAGATTGATGGACATGGCAAAGCAGCCAACAAAACAAGCTTTTATCCTAAACATTATGACATTCTGAATTATACAGGTTTATGAGTAAATTTTATCATGTCCTTAAAACGTTTTATGTTGAAGATTTCTTCTTTAATGAAAGAGAAACAAATTAAGCACAAGAACTGACTACTTACATTCATTCTGCAGGTTTTCGAAAACCTTACTCCTTTCCAGCAGATTAGAACTAATATTCCAAGCTAGCTATCTGAGTGAAAAAAACATCAGGTGATGCATATGAACCTGGAAAATAATTTGCCAAGCAGAATTGTTTCTATCCAGCTACATCATCCATTATTATGATAAGAACTCTACAGGTACAGTTGTTGGTGTACCTAGGTATGATAAAAATTTTTAGATAGAGTGAATGTGTTGACAAATATGGTAAGTTCATAAGCATTTCCGGATGCTGGGTTCCTGGCAGGTGCTAGGGGACCGTTTGAGTGAATATGTGTCAAAGCATGTCAAACTGAAGAAAGTTTCTCAGAAGGTTTCAGTGTTCCTGTGATAACAGTTATGGGGTCTTCTCTGAAAATTGTGAACTTGGTGATAATTTAGACTTGTTCCATAGGGTGCATTGAGCAGCATGGTAATTTGTGAAAGCAGAGAACCTGAAAGGCTGAGAGTGGAGGCAGAACCAAAGAGGAAATGAGAGCCTGAGTAGGAGGCTGAGGGTTTGGGGAATGAACACATGTTCCCTGTTGCAGACAGTGGAGCTGTGTCCGTTAACTGGAGAAGATCAGATGAGAGATACTCTGTGTGGGGTAGGTTTGTTCAGTAGGGAAATCAAAGAGTCACATTTTAAAACAGAGAAATAGCATCTGTAAATGAAATGGCGTTTCTGGTACTTGGATTTCTAGTTGCTCTCTTTCTAGGTGGAGACAACACAGATGGTAAGAGATCTGGCACCTGCCACGTTTGGTGGAAGCCATTTAATGTATGTGTGTGTGTGTGTGTGTGTGTGTGTGTGTGTGTGTCTTTCAGTGTGCATGCTAGTGTGTGTGTGTGTGCCAGCTTGTGTGTTGTTTAGTGTATGTGGTATGTGTGTTGGATGTGTGTGCTTGTTTGCAGGGTATATAATTTTGTCCTCAATATGTACCTGGAACTTGTTGCATTGTCACTATTCCTTCCTGTAGTTTCCTGTGCCTTTCTAAAGCATACAGATTAAGTCGGGGAACCCGAGGAAGGGAAGTATCTGCTAAAAGAACTAAGGTTTTCTCTTTTCCCTGCAGATTTTTAGCTCCCCATATTGGCACTTTTCCTTTCCAGTTCTGTCACAATGACTTTTTCCAATTCTATCTGTTTCTTCCCACAGGCTTTGAGAGGCCTATCTCCTTCCAAGTTATTGTAATCGAATCGTTTTATAACCATTCCTGGGTACAGAGTCTTTGCTCAGGATGGCTGGATGAGTTGGAGACTCTTCGTTGGGAGAAGAACTCTGGAACCATCGGATTTCTGCAGCCTTGGTCCAGGGGTAATTTCAGTAATAACGAGCTTGCAGACTTGGAAAGACTTATCAATTTCAAAATTGCTGCATCTACTCAAGAAATTCAGAAGAATGTCAATAAACTACAGTTTGAGTGTGAGTTCTGTTTCCTCAATATGACTGAAGAGGAAGATGGATGTCTATGCGAATAACTTTCTTTAACCTCTATTAAATAGATTGTTTGTCTTATAATTCTTACACTATTCCTAGAACAAAACTGAAACCCCATAATTTTGGGTAGCACTTTTTTCTGGATATTGATTCTCCAAAAAGATAAAACTTTGTGTTATTTATGATCTCTTTGCCTGTTAACAGCAGAACTGTATTATCTTCCTTTGGAGTGGTCCTTATTCTCCCCTTCCTTTAGTTCCAACCACATGCACATAGCTTCTTCTCTCTTTCATGACTTCTTAAAGTGTTTTTTTTTTCCTCTCCATTTCTGGCTATACAATCATTGTCATCTATAATATTGCACTCATATTTGATTGATACTTTCAACTCTTTCACATAGTTTCTCTTTACGCACATATTATGTCATCTCTAATAAATTTTTTTCCCATTGCTCATGACATTTTTCTCTTCTTCCCCTCTTACTCTTAGCAATTCCTCTTTTCTCTGACTCTGGATCAAATCAAACTTTGTCCTATTTAATCAAACCTCACAAACACTTCACTTTTACTTCTATTACATGTTGTTTTTATTTCATTTTTAGTATTTTTCTTCTTTATTTCTCTAATTTATTTTTTATCTTCCTAGACCCTTTTGAGGTCCAGGTGACAAAGGGCTGTGAGCTGCAGTCTGAAGAGACCTCAGTGGGCTTTGTCCGGGTAGCTTATCAAGGAACTGATTTGCTGAGCTTGGAGAACAATTCGTGGATGCCATCTCCACAGGGTGGAAGTAGGGCACAGATTGCTTCCAGACTACTTAATCTTTATAAGCTTTACACAGCAACAGCACAGAAATTCATCAGTGACACCTGTCCACGTTTCATTTGGGGACTTCTTGAAGCAGGCAAGGAGGATCTCCAGCGACAGTGTAAGTGGTGTACCCGCCTGGCAAAAATGGAGAAGTGTAGAATATGTGTTTCTCTAACCGGAGATGAGGATATGGTGGGGAGTTTGTGTGAACATTTTTCCTGTTTTCTGCAGTGAAGCCAGAAGCCTGGCTGTCCAGTGGCCCCAGTCCTGGTCCTGGTCATCTGCTGCTGGTCTGCCGTGTGTCTGGCTTCTACCCAAAGCCTGTGCTGGTGACATGGATGCGGGGTAACCAGGAGCAGCCTGGCACTGAGCGAAGTGATGTCCTGCCCAATGCTGATGGCACGTGGTATGTCCGAGTAACCGTGGAAGTGACAGCTGGAGAGGCGGCTGGCCTGTCCTGTCGAGTGCAGCACAGCAGTCTGGGAGACCAGGACATCATCCTCCACTGGGGTGAGGAAGAGTGGGTTCCCGAGCTGGAAAGAGGAGGAGTTGGCTTTCAAACACTTTGTGGGAGGGGACAGATGAAACATGAGTGATTTTTATGATTTCAGGCTCAATGTTTGAAAAAAGTAGATAATCCAAGGAATGCAAGTGAAATCGAGGGGCCATAGTGCAGTGTCAGTTTGAGTCCTGACTGTTCTGCTTCTGATATGGCACCTTGCTATGGTGTCTGGAAAGGCAGTGGGTGACAGTCTTGGTGCTGATGTCTACTGTCCGTGTGTGACATGGCTGTTGTTGCTGGTCCTGATTTTGGCCTGTCCTAGTCCTGGATGTTGATAACATTTGGAAAGTGAGCATGAAAGGAAGACTCCCTAATATGTCTCTGTCTGCCTTTGCTCTCTGTCTCTTCCTGTTTCTCCAACAGTCTGCTTTTCAAAAATAATATGTATATATTTTAATTTTTAAAATATTTGTGTATATTGGAAAATCAGATGTACAAGGAGAAGGAGAGAGACACAGAGAGAGAGGGAAGGAGAGATAGAGAAAAATTGCTGGCTCACTCCTCAAGTAACCAAAACAGGGTTGAGCCAATTTTAGCCAGAAGCCAGGAACCTCTTCTGGGTTTCCCACAAGGATGCAGAATCCCAAGAGTTTGGGCTGTCCTCCCCTGCTTTCCCAGGGCACACACAGGAGCTGGAAGGGAAGTGGAGCAACTGGCACACAACAGCTACCCATGTGGGATCACAATGCGAACAAGATGAGGATTTTAGCCATTAGAATTTTTAGTCTGGGTATACATATAGATTTATTTAAATAAATATTTAAATTTGCATTAAGTTTATTATGATTCAACATAGTTTAATATATAATTATTAGTTATTTTTATTCAATCACAATTAATAAGAACTATTTAATTGATATTATTTAATTAATATATTCAATATTTATTTTAATATTTAAATACATATACTTAAAGAAAATGAGGGATCCAGTAGGAGTTAGCTGAAGGTTTCATCTTTGAAGAAAGATGATGTCAGAAAGAAGACAGAAGGAGAATGATGAATATAGACATTCAACTGAACTAAACACAGTTGATCATATTAACTCAGGAGGTGGATGGGCACAGCAGGGAATGAATTTGAAATAACATTTCTGGTTTTGTCCACCTTTACAGAACGTCAAAATTCCACTGGCTTCATTGTCCTGGCAGTGATACTGGTCCTGGCTCTTCTGGCTGGTCTTGTGTTTTGGTTAAGAAAGCTATGGTGAGTCTTCTATGTCCATTTTTCCTACTTTCTCTGTTTCCTAACTTAGATTCCTCTTTACAAAGCTGTCTCCTAGGTTCTCCTTCTCAGAGCCCTCATTCCTTATTCTCGATTCTCACCTCCACCCCTGTGCTGTGACTTCCATCTTGACTCTGAATGCTTCATTTCAGGATACACCATGGCCCTCCACACAATCTTCTGCATGGAAATGAGAACTCAGCAGCCCAAAGGCACAGGGAATAACTGGAGGTGATATGGTGATGATATCTTCGAATCTTTGTACACAACTTCTGCTGTTGCTTATGTTCAATGATCAGGTGCTGATAACAGATAAGCTTAATGTTTCATGAGTTGCTGTTCTGACTTATGCTATGCTGTTTCAAAATATGAATTTAAAATTTCAATGGAATGGGCTCCAAGTTACCTCTCCCTGTTCAGTTACTTCTGGATCATCAGGCCTATTTCAGCTGCCACTTCCTCATGGGGTCGTCTCTGACCCTCCAGTGGGAAAATTTCCCTCCCTGGTCTGAACATTTGTGACAACTCTGTTTTCCCTGGTAACTCCCTAGTCCCTATCCAGTTTTTGGAAGTATTTTTGTTAGTTTCATTTGTTTGAGAGCAAAATGCTAATCACACACAGATGTTTATGCAGGGAAGTATCGTTTCTGAATGTCCTATTTTGTCCATAAAAATCTGTTGAGTGTAAGTCAAATCTGTAGTCAGTTTTTTAAAAATTGTTTTAATTGTTGATTGTCTGTGTTATTTGAAAGCCATTTGATTCTCTGCTTGTCAACGTCTTCTCCCTTTCCTGCTTTTTACACTTTCTGCACTTTCAAGAGGAAGCACCTGTTTCTGGCTCATTGAAGTTCAACAATGTGGCAGCCTACAGGTTTCACCCCAGATAGGACCAGGTAGACCTCAGACCTGATGTCCAGCATATCAAGAATTCTAGTAGTGGCACATCAGGTGCCATTTCTTACAGTGTGGAAAGACTACAGGGACAACAGTGAGTTGCACATACATTGAGCTCGGTGAGAGCTCACACAGCTCAATACATTGCACTGGTCCTAAAGAAAAATAATACTGATTATGGCATCAAACGGATCAAAATAGGTCCGTGTGGCCCTCAGGCCTAACTGCCAACAGGTTCTGGCAAGATCAGCACCACCAACAACCTAGTTATATATATAACACCTGGTGTCTCCCTAATCCTGGGACCTGCTCTAACAGGAAGTGGCAGGAAGGTTGTACAGACAGCAGTGCAGCCTCAGCACAGTATCACAGGTGGTCAAAACTGAATAACCAAGAGCTTGGTCTACGGAGACCATGGTAGAAATTTACCATAAAAATCTTGACATGGAACTTGCTGGAGGGAGAGGCACAAGTGACTGCAAGCAAAGAGCCGAGTACCAACTGCAGTAAGTAAAATCAAACTGCAGACCTGTGGGTGACAGAGCTTAGAAACCTGCCCCAAGGAGAAGAACATGATAACCAGAATTACAATGATCAAGAACAACAGAAGAAACAGGCACAATGAATATTATTGAAGACTCCCCTGAGAAGGAGCAAAACATTTTTTTTTGCTAACCTCAGAGTTCACTGAGGAAGACATTGAGAAAATGGGGGATACAGAATTCAAAACACTTGTTCTAAAGCTTCTTATCAACAATGAGAAGCATGTAAAGCAAACATTCAAGGAATTTAAGGTATATGTCACACTGGAAATGAATCAAAGGAAAGCTGATATATCAGACATAAAGAATAGAGTGGAGCAAACTAAAAGTACATAGGGGAGAGTCTCCAAAATGGAATGAAGGAGGCAGTACAAAGAATCTCAGAATCAGAAAATATTTCCTGTCACCAGGGGAAGCAAACAAAAAACTGGAAGCAGAGCTGGATCAGGCCCAAAATGTATTCAGGAATTGAAAGACAGTATTAAAGGACCAAATATGAGTTATGGGAGTGCCAGAAGATGCAGAAAGAGAAACTGGGTTTACAAATGTATATAATGAAATAATCAAGGAAAATTTCCCTAATCTGGAGAAAGGACTGGGAAACAAGATCCAGGAGGGGCACAGAACTCCCAACAGGCTCAACAGGCTTGATCAAAAGTGATCTTCACCACGACATATGATAATCAAGCTCTCTTTAATTGAACATAAGGAAAAGATCCTTAAATGTGCTCATGACAAAAAATCAATGGACATATAAAGGAATGTCAAATTCACAGGAGGCCACTCACAGGAAACTCTACAGTGAAGAAGAGAATGGAACGACATATTCCAGATTCTAAAAGCAAAATAAATTGTCGGCCTAGGAAAACATACCCAGCAAAACTTTCATCTTTGAAAATGAAATAAAATTCTTTCAATGTAAAGAAAGTTAAAGAATAGGGCTTTTCCAATCCTGCCCTACAAATGATACTTAAAGGTGTTCTCTTGACAGAGAAAAGGAATAGCACTCACCAAAACCACAGGCAAACACCAAGAACCTCCAAGTACAATAAGAACAGAAGACTGAATCAATAAACAACCCATTGCTAAAATGACAGGATCAAATGACCACCCATGCATATTCACCCTGAATATAAATGGCTTAGACTCATCAATCAAGGGCCATAGATTAGTATACTGAATTAAAAACACAAAACCCATCTATTTGTTGCCTACCGGAGACAGATTGCACCAACAAAGATGGGCAAAAACTCTATTTCATGGATTTTGATTTTTTTGTGTTACTTTCATGTCTTCAAAACACTTCCTTCTGATTAAATTCTTCAGAAGCCCATAGATCATACCATAGCATCATTTTCTTTAAGTAGGTTCCTGATTTTCTTTTTCATTTCTGCAATGACACACAGTAGTCATTCAGTATCTAGTCATATAACTTCATGGCACTGTTAATATCTTTTTTTCTTCCTGTTCTTGATTTTGTTTTGTGGCTTTTCATTTAAGGAGATGTATAGTAACTGTGTAATGGAGACTATCATATCTAGAGGCATGTTATTTGACTTCATGGCATTGGAAATTTCTATTTTTCTTCCTGTTAATTTATAGTAGTATAGTAGTTGTGTAGTGGAAACTATCACATCCAGAAGTGAAGATACAATGCAGTATGCATCCCTACTTCCAGACAAAGATAGACACGCAATGAAACTGTTTAGTATATCTTGACAATAGGTTGCTGGACTCTCTGTCGTTGTCCATACCCACAATGATGGACATATGATTGTTTATGGAGAACTATACTATATTAATGATGTAGGGGAGCTCAGTGAGGGGGAGGTAATTAGGGAGAGTATAAAGGTAATCCCTGGCTTGTGGAACTGTATCATAAAATGATAATACTAGAAAGAAGTAAAAAAAAATGAGTGGAAGAAAAACTGTTGGTTGTTATAGTTGGTCTGCCACTGGTATGTGAGGAAAATAAAGGCAGTTTCTCCAATCTTCATTGTTTGCTTCAGTTAAATGGAGGGAAACTACTCTAAAGTTTTCTATGAAAAAAAAGTCAGGACCAACATTTAACAAACTGTTAAATATGTAGTTAATGTTACATCAGAAAAATAAAATAAAATTTTTCGTAATTTCCTGTTGACAAAATTTATTCATTAATTCACTGATTCAGCACATATTTAGGTTTTACTACTAATAGTGTTTTTGTACAATACAGTCAACATGTTCACTGGTAGTGGTTTAATATTTTTGAGAGTAATTATACTTCTAAAAATTTAAAATCGTACTAAGTGTATTTTCCTCTTAGTGTTTTTTTTTTAGAGTCAAATATCACAACTCTTTGCATTCTTGCCTTCTTAGATTTTTCTATTTACCAGCACATTCTCTTAAAACAATCCTGATAACTGGGTGCATTGCTGTAGAATAATGGATTAAGCCACCACCTGCAGTGCCAGCATCACATATGGTCTGCATGTTGAGTTCTGGTCCAATTCCCTGCTAACACATCCCTGCTAATGTGCCTGGGAAAGCAGCAGAGGGAAGCCCCAGATGCTTGAATGTAGGAGGCGATGAAGAATCTCTTAGCTGCTGGCTTCAACCTGACATAGCCCTGTTTGTTGTGACCAATTGAGGACTGAACCAGCAGATGGAAGCTCTGTTTCTCTCTTTCTAATTCTGTATTTCAGATAAATACATCAATACAAATCTTTAAACCAAAGAAACAAGGACTGGCACTGTGGCATAGTAGGTAATGCTCTTCCTGTGGTGCTGGTATCATATATGGGCACTGATTTGAGTCTCAGATGATCCACATTCCATTCATCTCCCTGCTTGTGGCCTCAGAAGCCAGTGGAGGATGGCCATGAACCTTAGGCCCCTACACTCATATAGGAGAACCACAAGAAGCTCCTGGCTCCTGGTTTCAGATTAGCTTATCTCTGGTCTTATAGGCATTTGAAGAGTGAACCAGCAGATGGAAGACTATCACCCTCTCTCTTTTGTAACTCTTTCAATTAATAATAAATACATCATTATCAGAATTCTCTGAAATTTGTCTCTTCCTTCCTCTTTTCTTAGACCTTATCAACTTGTACAAAAACCGCTGTGGTTTCATTTCTTGTGTCATACTTTCTTGTTCATTTCCTAGTAAACATTCTTAGCCACAGTTGCTCACATCGGAAAACAGAAATTCCCTCCAAATAGATATGTGGTCTCTTCAGATACAATTGAATTCCCAGCTATACACTGTGAGACAGGTATACAGTTGAAAGAAAGTAGAGGGTCTTGAAGCAGTAAGCAGGTGGCTAAAGTCCTTGTCTCTCATCCATCAATATCCCATGGGTGCCGGTTCTTGTGTTGGCTGCTCCATTTTCCTTTTAGAACCTTGCTTGAGGTCTGGGAATTCATTGGGACCCTGCACCCATGTGGGAGACCTGGAAGAGGCTTCTGGCTCCTGGCTTTGGATTGGCTCAGCTGTGGGTATTGTGGCTACTTGCGGAATGAACCAGAGGATGGAAGATCTTTCTTTCTGTCTTTCCATCTCTGTAAATTTGACTTTAAAAGGAAAATAAATAAAAACTTTAAGTCAACATTCTGGAATTTGAAAATTGTGAAATGGCCGCTTCATTGTTAGAATTTTGGGCAGAGCAAGAGAGAAGTTAATGGATGAGTGAATGTCTGAGTATCGAGTAGTTAACTTGGGAAAGCAGATTAAGGAACTTGAACTTGTGCGCACTCCATCTTGCATGCTTAGCCTAGTATTTGATGAAGCAGTAACTGGACCAGGGTGAA